CCCTCTTGGAGGCCTCTTGTGGAGGCATTTTAGGGGCCTCTTGGTCTGTCTTGGTGGCCTTTTGGCCCGTCTGACGCCCTCGGAAGCCGTCTTAGGGGGTCTCTCTGGGCCGACTTGGGCCCTCTTTGGGTGTTCCAGGGCCGTCTTGGAAGCCATCGTGTGCGTCTAGGAGGCCTCTTGAGCCTCTTGGGGCTCTGGGGGCCGTACGTTGCCTCTTGGGCCGTTCTGGGGCCGTCTTGGAGGGTTCTTGGGCGGTCTTGGGGCGATCTTTGAGGGCTCTTGGCCCGTTCGGGCAGTTGGAAAGCCGACAAGAAACAAATGCTAAAACCTTCCGATCACCCTATAAAATGCAATGTCTCGGAGGCCTCTTCGGGCCTTCCTTGAGGCCCTCGTGGAGGCACCTTGGGCCGTCTTGGGCTCCGCCTTGGGCCTTTTGGCCCGTCTTCGGCCATTTTGGAGCCAGCTTGAGCGGCCTTTGTGGCGCCCGTCTGACGTCGTCGGAAGCCGTCTTGGGGGCCTCTCTGGGCCGACTTGAGGCCCGTTTGGGGTGCTCCAGGTCCGTCTTGGAGGCCATCTTTGGCTTCTTGGAGTCTTGGAGGCCTCTTGGGCCGTCTTGGATGCCTCTTGGGGGCCTCTTGGGTTCTCTCGGATCGTCTTGGAGGCTTCTTGAGTGGACTTGGGGGCATCTTGGACCCTCTTGGGCCGTCTTGGAGGCTATCTTGGACCATCTTCGGCGCACTTGGAGGCCATATTGGGCCATCTCAGTCGTCTTGGAGGCCATCCTGGGGCCATCTTGGAGGAGAGGACCGATGGAGTGCACTTGTTCGGCGGCTTTCCTGGTGGCCGCCGCACTGGGACGAAGCCCCAGGGGGAGTTCTTTTGTAGTGTTTTTTTCTGCAACCCTTTGGCAAGCCATGAGGCAGCGGATCAAATGGCCTTCGGCCCCTCCTGCCACCGTGCCTGGATTGTTGGCCATATGCCTCTTGAGTGTTCGTTGGGATGTCGGGGGGGGGCCGTTTGGAGGCCTCTTGGGGACCGTTCTGGGGCCTCCTGGGGAGTCTTGAGGCTCCTTGGGAGTCGCTAGGGGCCTCTTGTGGGCGTCTTGGCGCCACCTTGGACCTCCAGGAGGCTCCTTGGGGCGGAAGACTTGGATGTTCCGTTCGTTTTACCCCTCTTGGTCCCTTCTTTGGGCTGTGTTTGGGCCCTCGTCGGCCATCCTGTGCGCCTCTGGGGTCGTCTTGGAGCCCTCGTGGGTTGCATCTTGGGCCGTCTTCGGGCGGTCTCTGGGCCCTCTTGGGCCGTCTTGGAACGCTGGAAAAAGCCGAGGACCCCAAAAATATGGAAACATACAAACGAAGATCAAGGATCTTGGCCTCTCGGAACCCTCTTGCGAAGGCTCTTGGGGCTCTCTTGGGGCGCCTCGAAGGCCTCTTGGGCCGTCGTGGGGCCCTCTTGGGCGGCTTGGGCCGATCGTGCGGAGATTCGGGGTCCTCTGTGACCGCTTTGGGGGACCTCTTGGGCCCCTCTTGGGCCATCTCGGGGCCCTCTCGGGCCCGAACAGGCCATGCGACGAGACGCGACTGGTTCCAAGGGGCCATGCGGCGCGCACCAAGAGATTTCGCAAGGTTTGGTCCAGGCCCCTGAACGAATCCTCAGGATTGAAGACTAAGGCTTGAGGGATTAGGCCAAGGACCTGAGAACACTCCAGCTCGTGCCTCATGGGCTCGGTGGCGGATCTATGCATATCTCTCTCTCTATATATATATATATATATATATATATATTTATATATATAGAGAGAGAGGTACACACGCGCACGTCTGCTTAGACATGTATACACGTGTACATTTCTATCTGGTGGCCTGCTGCCCGGGCTGCCCATCCCGCCACCGAGCTTGGGTTGTGGGCGAGATGCATGCGAGAGATGTCCTGGTCTTTAGGGGCGTCAGACAGGCCTGCGCTAGAACATGAGCGCGCGCGATGTGGAGGATGTTGGGTGAGGCGGTTGTTGCGACGACGTACACGCTAGGCGTAGCGGGTCCCATCGTGAGAATGGTCCAGATGACGATGTTTTTGATAATGAAGGTTATGATTCGAATGAGGACGATGTTTCTGTTGTTGTTGATGACGCTTACGATACGCCAGTGCGACGTGCAGCATCACCAGCACAACCAGGCCAATGATGATACAAATCAAGGATGATGATTCAGACCATGAGACTTGGCATGACGACGTTGTTCACATGGAGAGATGATGAGGGTGAGGAAGGCGGACGCTAGTAATGATAATCATTATGGCATGAGTGCGACTGGCTGACATCTCGCCCTCGCGGAAATGGTAGGGGCAAGAGGAATCGATGACAGGTTTGGAAGTTTCGTGGGAAGGCTTTGGAGAACCGACAACACAGAAAGTCTGCCACATGGGAGAACCGACAACACAGCAAGCATGCAAAGCCGTATCGAAATACATAGTGAATTGATTATGGGTCAGATGGCGCTTGGATGTTCGTGTGGATTTCGAGTGAGGCCTATCGGGGGCCTCTACGAGGCCGCTTTGGAAGCTCTTGAGGGCCGTTTCGGGCGGGGCTTCTCGTATGCCTCGAGGAAGCCTCTATCATGTTTCTTATATACACACACACACACACACACACCTCTTGGAGTCTCCTGGGGGTTTCTTCGAGCGGAAGGGTTGAATTGTCCGTTCGAGTTCGCTGGTTTAGGCCCTTCTTGGGGCCCTCTGGGGCCGTCTTGGGCGCCTCAGCGGCCGCCTTGTGGCCGTCTTGGGCGTTTTGGGGGCCATCTTGGGGCCTCTTGGGCCGTCTTGGAGCAGTCTTGGGTGCCTCTTGGCCTTTGTTGGAGCTTCTGTAGCTGGAAAAGGTAGAATCAGAAAAACACTGACAAATCTTTGAGACATCTATAAATCTTGCCTACTGGGACCCTCATGGGGAATCTCTTGGAGCGTTCTTGGTGCCCGTTGGGAGGCTCGTGAGCTGTCATGGAACCATCTTTCGCGTCGTGGGGCACTCTTGGGCCTTCTCGGAGGCATCTTCGGCCCTCTTGGGCGCTTGGTGGGCCCATGTTTGGCCGGCTGCGCTTTCCACGGACGCGCGCGACACACTCAGGGAGTTCGTGGAAATCCTCGGGAATTCCAGGAAATCCCTCGAAATCCCAGCGAATCCCCGGGAATCCTTGTGAATCGGCGGCCCGGGCCTTTCAAACTTCAAACCTCACAGCTTTGAATTTCTCAGGGCTGTATGAGCCTTGGGGCACTCCACCACATCGATTCAGGCACGCTGGCGGATATGCATATAACAAGTGTGTGTGTGTGTGTGTGTGTGTGTGTGCGTCGTGGGCTGACGCTCTACGATGATGTGTGGCAGCCGCCGCCAGTTCGCATATACCGCATGGCACAGGTAGCGTTTGCAGACATAAAACAAGTGTGTGTGTGTGTGTGTGTGTGTGTGTGTGTGTGTGTGTGTGTGTGTGTGTGTGCGTGTATTTCGCCTCCAGTGCGCCCCCTCGGGCCCCCAGAGGCCGGGCCTGGGGAGGAAACTGCGGCAGACAAGCGGGAGGCACCGGCGCAGAAGACGCGCGCCGCTTGGATGATGACGCGCGCCGCCTCCGCCTGGCAAGCAGGGCGGAGGAGGAGGAGGAGGAAGAGGGAGAGGGGAGGAGAGCGGGATGGGGGGGGAGGAGGGAAGGGGCGGAACTGGCGGCAGACAAGCGGGAAGGTGGCGGCGAGGGTCTGCGAAGAGAAAGCCCGGCCACCAGAGCATATTGAACATCTTCATAGGGGGCATGTCCGGGGGGCCCCTGTCCCGGCAGCGCTCGCGACCGGCTCCTGCTTCGTCCAGAGGAGAAGGGAGGAGGACCAGGAGGATCGAGGAGGAAGGTGAAGGAGGACGAAAAGGAGGAGGAGGATGAGGAGGAGGAAGAGAAGGAGGAAGAGGAGGAGGAGGAGGAGGAGGAGGAGGAGGAGGAGGAGGAGGAGGAGGGGGGGAAGGAGGAGGAGGAGGAGGACGAGGAGGAGGAGGAGGAAGAGGAGGAGAAGGGAGGAGGAGAGAGGAGGAGAGAGGAGGAGAGAGGAGGAGAGAGGAGGAGAGAGGAGGAGAGAGAGGAGAGGAGGAGGAGAGAGGAGGAGAAGAGGAGGAGAGAGGAGGAGAGAGGAGGCGAGAGGAGGAGAGAGGAGAGGAGGAGAGGAGGAGAGAGGAGAAGAGAGGAGGAGGGAGGGGAGAGAGAGGAGAGAGGAGGAGGAGGAGGAGGAGGAGGAGGAGGAGGAGAAGCAGGAGGAGGAGGAGGAGGAGAGAGGGAGAGGAGAGAGGAGGAGAGAGGAGGAGAGAGTAGGAGAGAGGAGGAACGAGGAGGAGAGAGGATGAGAGTGGAGGAACGAGGAGGAGAGAGGAGGACAGAGGAGGAGAGAGGGAGGAGAGAGGAGGCGAGAGGAGGAGAGAGGAGGAGAGAGGAGGGGAGGAGGAGGAGGAGGAGCAGGAGGAGGCGGCGGAGGAGGAGGAGGTGGAGGAGGAGTTGGAGGAGGAGGAGGAGGAGGAGGAGGAGGAGGAGGAGGAGGGAGGAGTGGGAGGAGGAGGAAGAGGCGGAGGAGGCGGGGGAGGAGGCGGAGGAGGAGGAGGAGGAGGAGGAGGAGGAGGAGGAGGAGGAGGAGGGGGAGGAGGAGGAGGAGAAGGAGGAGGCGGAGGAGGAGGAGGAGGAGGAGGAGGAGGAAGAGGAGAAGGAGGAGGAGTGAGGAGTGAGGAGGATGAGGTGGAGGGTTGAGGTGGAGAGGAGGATGGAGGAGGAGGAGGAGGCGGAGAGGCGGAGGAGGTGGAGGAGGAGGAGGAGGAGGAGGAGAGGAGGAGGAGGAGGAGGAGGAGGAGAGGAGGAGGAGAGAGGAGGAGAGAGGAGGAGAGAGGAGGAGGAGAGAGGAGGAGAGAGGAGGAGAGGAGGAGAGAGGAGGAGGAGGCGGATCAAGGATAGCCAGCGGGAGGACAGGACAAGGGGTTCTGAGATTTCTTGCCGTTCCGGGTTGAGAATTGCTGCACCTCCCCTGAGCCTAATATTCAACAGCATGGCGACGGGCAGCACCCCTCCTCCAGACCATGAGCCGGTACGATCGAGACGGCGGCGGACAAAAGTGGGGAGGAATGCAGACGGGCGTCCATGGCCATTTTGAAGAGGACTCGTTGCCTGCGCTGCGTGGTCGTCTTCGACCTGGGCCAAACGCCGCCTGCCAGTGTCTGACAGCGGCCGCTGTCGGAATTGGGCAAAACAGTGGCTGCCTGTTCTCTCGCCCCCATGGTTTCTGCTGTGGGCGGGCCAGCGCATGAGGATCGAATGTGGAGGATCAGGAGGATGATCGGTGATCTTCGGCGTGAGGACAAGGGGTCCTGAGTCGTGTCGCTATTTTCGGACCTCCAGGGCCCTTGCATGCCCAAGGCCAGGGCCGTCAGAGAAAGCGATCCGGCGTCTGGGGAGGAGCCCGGCGTGAGTCTGGGGACCAGTCTCTCCTCGCCCTTGCGCCTGCCCTTCAAATGTCCATTCTTCAGCTTTCCCCACTGTGCCCCTTCTACCTCGCCCCTTCGAGCAGCGACGTAGCGTCCAGATGTGCGCACCGTCCCTCCAGATAATCGGGGTGATGCGACAGGTCGAGGCACCTCGGGGGCGCCAGGTATGGTCTCGGGCGTTCCACCCCAACCAGTCTGTCTGCGTCGAACTCGGGATTTGAGGGCTACCTCGCGCGTACATTGTGTGTGAACCTGTGCTCCCGTCGCCCCCCTTGCGCCTGCCAGGGACGTCCAAGCGTGGTCTCTATGTGACGACGTTCACGGTGTTGCAGGGTGGAGCCGTCTGGGGATCTGAGGTGGCCCAGGCCCTGGGACAGACTTTGAGCGGAGTTGGCACGGTGTGTTCGAGAAGGCAGGCTAAAAGACCTGGGTTGATTTGCAGAAGCTTCCTCGAGCCACCCTGCTGCAGAAGACTGCCGGCAGCATCGACGGCAGGTGCTCGAAGGCAGCGCTGGCTTGGACGCCAGCCGGGCGCAGGGCGCCGGGTCGTCAGTCTGGCAGTCTGGCCCAAGCGGGGCAACACGAGACAGTCGGCTCTCTGCGACGGATCTCTCAAGTCTGGTTTCAGTGTATACCATATTTTGATATCAGTTATTGGTCCTGACGTCGAGGAAAAAAGTTGAGAACTGGGGCTGTGAGAGAGTCAGACAGTCAGCCTGCAGGCTGCCCGTGCAGAGCCCGCGTCGGCGCACGCCGACCTCCCGGTCCCTCTCCCCGCACTGAGTTAGGCCCAGTGTGCGGCGGAGCGGCCGGCGACCAGCGCGGGCCTTCACACATCCAGCTTCGCGAAAAGACTGGATTCCCCAACGAGGATTCGGCAGTGGCATCGAGAACTTGCAGGGCATATCCCAGTGGTCATCCGCTGTGAGTGCGCGGCTTGCGTTGTGGAGCGCACGTTCGAGTTCCTTCCAGAGGAGGGACTCTGGGGGCACCTTCTCCTGGGAGCACCTGCGGCACCTCTCGAAGACATGTTGACAACTGTTTGCGTATTCAACATGTGGTTACACCGTGTGTCGCCGAGGCACGACCTGTAAGATATCGGCTCGATGTTCAAGCGAAATTGTTTGCAAGATTTCTGTATCCTTTCCAGCCATCGAATCATTTCGTTGCGGGCTTATGCGGGTACCAGCACGGTCGGTTCTTGTTCAACCCGGGGTTCCCCGTCGTCATCGCCTTCCTCGCCCCTCCTCGCTCCCTCTTCGAGAAGGGCCGCGTTCCTGAACCCGAGTCTCGGCCCGATCAGAGCACGCCGTCTGTCCTGCCCTCAGGAGGGGGGAAGGATAGGGAGAGCGCGCCCCAGCTCCGCCTTCGGCCGCTTCCGTTCTGAGCCCAGGTCGTTAAAAGCTGAACGACTTCTGCCGCCCTTCGACTCGCGCTGGAGAGGCCGCGAGATGCTCCTGCTTTCCCTGGAGATCTATGGACCTCCTTGGATTTACCCGCATTGACCCCGAAGTGCCAAGGTTTATCTGGATTCATATCGATTTATCTGCATCTACCTGGATTTATCGGGCTCGACCCTCACAAGTCGATTAGCGAAAAGTCGACAAGCCATTAGGGACCAGGGCATCCTCCAAGGCGGGCTGCACTTCGCACTGCTGGGCGCACGGGCCACCTCACGACGAGTCTGCGCCGCACGCTCCTCCCCCAGCTCCTGCTCCTCCATACTCCCCCCTCCCACACACACACCCAATCTTGACGCGCGCATCCGCCCACTACTGCTTTGGATGTGCCTACATGTGCGCCCGCGGAACTTTAAGCTACACTCAAGACAGGCCACGCGGCGCGCCACTCATGAGCGTGCCGCGCGACGTGTTCGGAACTCTGCGCCCGCGTGCCGCGCCCGCAGCGCCCTGGGCGGTGCCAGCGCGCGGGAGTGCGTCGTGCTTCCCCGTCCTTTGTGCGCCCACCCCTTTCCAGGATGGAAAAAACACACAGGCACAATTAATCGTCGATTCCCCAGAACATGTACGAAAATATGGGCAGTGGTGGGGAAGACAAAACTCCAAAAAAATATAGGACAATATGGGGAATCCTGTTATTTGTGTCTATGTATTTGTGTGTCCCATGGCTCCTTCACCTTTGTGCGCCCCCCTTTCCTCCCCACTTCGGGAGGGAGAGGGGCTATCGATGACACGCCGCGGCACGCCGGCGGGCTCCCGTTGGGAGCCCGTCGGCATGGTGCTCCTCTGTTTTTGCCCGGCAGCCCGCCCCTTGCCAACAGCATTCGGCAGTACAGTGCGCTGACGGGGTGCCAACGGCGGCGTGTCGTCGTCATTGCTTGTGTTCCCTTACCAACATACCTCCGAAGCCGTTGCTGTGCCAAGATTCGGGCCCCTGCAGAGGTCTGGACCAAGTCCCCCCGTGGTGAAAAGCTTCAGTAGTTGATGTTGCTGTTGCTGTTGCTGTTGAACCCTCACTTCTGAAGAGTATGTTGTGTTGATCCCCCCTCACCGGTGCAGATTATTTTTTCTCAGCCCCTCGACGTTCGCACTCCGTTTTTTGACAGGGGAAGTCTTCCTAGTCAAACTGGGCCCCTGGGGACCCCCGGACTACAACAACAACGGCTCCCGCTGAGACCTTCTGAAAATTTACTCAGGACCCCCCCCTCCCGTCTAAGACTCCTCCCAATTTACTCAGGAACGGCGCTCCCTCTTGAGACGTCCTCACAATTTAGTCCAGGTCAAACTGCGTTGTTGCTCTTCCGGACTACAACAACAACGGCTCCCGCCTGAGACTTCCTCCAAATTTACTCAGGACCCCCGCTCCCGCCTGAGTCTTCCTCCCAATTTACTCAGGATCGGCGCTCCCGGTTCTGAATTCCTCGCAATTTAGTCTGGACCCCTCCTCCCGTCTGAGGCTTCCTCACAATTTACTCAAGAACGGCGCTCCCGCTTAAGATTTTCTTGCGCTTTAGTCTAGACCCCCCCCTGTTCCCGCCAGACATTACCTTTTCAGGAATTGCTCTCTCGCATGTGACTTGTTCGCAGTTTTTTCAGACATCGCGCTATCTACGCTCAGGCACCACGCTCGCGCCAAGGACGCCGTCACACTTTACTTAGGAATCGCGCTCTCGCCCTACTCAGGCATCCCGCTTGAATGTCCCACCCGCCCGACCCGCCCGTCAGAGGATCGCCCGCCCGTCGTGGGCTGCCGCCCAATGGCGCTTTCACCTAGGGTTTCTTCGAACGTTCGCGCTCTTACCTTCCTGCTCCTCCCTCCTCCCAGGCCGCCTCCCCCCTCCTTCCGATTCCCTCTCCCTCGCACGTCAGCTGATGTTGAACTTTGATTCCTGAAGAATGATTTCTGTTGGCCCCCCCCCAACCTGTGCGCATTGTTTTTCTCAGTCAAAGTGCGCCCCTCGACGCTCGCACCCTGTTATTTGACAGGGAAAGTCATCCGCGCCAAACTGTGCCCCTGGGGCCCGGGCTACACCAACAACTGCTCCCGCCTCAGACGCGCCCAGTGAGGCCCCGCCGCGCTGCCCACAGAGGCCCCTGCCGCAGCCCACGGAGGCCCCGAACGCGCCCATGGAGGTCCCGCCAAATTGCCCACTCAGGCCCCAAAACCAGCCCACAGAGGCCCCGAACGCGCCCGCGGAGGCCCCGCCACGCTGCCCACCAGAGGGGTTACATGGCGCTGCTTCTGGGGCGACCCATGGCGAAGCCTTTGTGAAACTGTGTTGAAATGGCTGGCGCAAGACATGGCGCAAGCTGAATCGCAACTCACGGCACAAACCATCGTCGTCCCTCCCTCTTGCCCCTCCAATCCCTCCCTTCCTCCGATCCCTTCGTCCTCTCTTTGTGTCTTTTCCCTGTCGTTTTCCCGTTTAGGGGCTTCTCCAATATCACGTGGCCAGGAAGGAATATAATCCCCCCAAAGGGGGTACGATCGAAGACGAAGAGGGCGGGTATCCAGGGTTCGGGATATGCATAGTGAATGACACGCGGGCCGGTAATTAGGAGCCTTCAGTCTTGGAATGATGGTTGTTGGTATTGTTGTTGTTGTTGTTGCTGTGTGTTGCTGTTGCTGCTGTTGTTGCTGTTGTTGTTGTCGGTGTCGGTGTCGTTGTTGTTGTTGTTGCTGCTGCTGCTGCTGTTGTTGTTGTTGTTGATGTTGTTGTTGTTGCTGTTGTTGTTGTTGCTGGTGTTGTTGTTTCTGTTGTTGCTGTTGCTGCTGTTGTTGTTGTTGAACATTATTTATTCTAAAGAATAATTATTGTTGGGCCCCCTGGTGCGCGCCCCCCCTGCGCCGCCTAGGCCGCAGCTACATTTTCATCATTTTCGTGAGGAAGCCTCAGAAAAGAGGGTGTGTACAGGATCCGGTTGTTTTGTTGTAATCCGCTTTCCCTTGCAAAAAACAATAGAAAATGACATTTCTTGTTCTAATATAATCAAATTTCAAGAATCCCTTGCAAAAAATAAGGTAAAGTGGACATTCGCGCGCGCAAGACGAAATCCTTCCAAAACCTTAGTGTTCGCAGCGATTTTAACATAAAAACATCAAAAAACCAATGGTTTTTCAACAAAAATTGTCAAAATCTCATCCCGCGCGCTCTTGCGGATTCGTAGGAAACCCAACACTTTTTAAACATTTCTGTCAAACGGGCTTTTGCGAGCAACTTTTTCGAACTTCTGCGACAACGGTTGCGCACCTGCCAGGGCCATCATCCCTGTCAAATAATACCATGCGGGACACATTCGTTTTTTCTTCGCGCGCGCACGCCGTCGTCGTCGGCCGCGGGGCCCTGAATAGTAGCCACGGTCGTCCGCATGCCACGAAGTGAAGTGTCCGAACGTCATAGGGCGGGAAGCTGGGTGTGGGTGGTGGCGAAGAGTCGTTTGGAAATTTGGTAGAGCTTGAACCGGCCCCCCCACAAAGTGGGGGTATTGCCCGCCTCCTATGAAAACCCTGGCACTGGTGAGAACGGAGTGTCCCCACGTGCTAGTAATTGTTGTTGTTGTTGTTGTTGTTGTTGTTGTTGTTGTTGTTGTTGTTGTTGTTGTTGTTGTTGTTGTTGTTGTCGACTGTCCTAGGGCCCCTGGAGGCGGACAACGGCCAGCGGTGTTCCGCCGTGCATTCTGGCCCACGAGGCGAGGAAGCTCGGGTCCTTCCCCTGGGCCTTCACTCCGACCCCTCCTTTCGGGCCAAGCGAAAGGAGGGGATAGAGAAAGGGGGGGGTGCGAAATCTGCTGCATGCAGCTGGTGTCGGCCCCGCCGCCGGGCCCATTCCTCGATACATGGGCGTTTCCCGGCGCCGGGAAGCGCTGGGAAAATCAGCTATGTGAGTTGAGTCTCTGCCCTACCCTTTGCTATCCCCCCCTTTCGTTCCCCCTGATCCTTCCTCCCCCCTCCTGTCTGCGCTGAGGCTGAACGTCCTCCTGACGGGCGGCCTTCTTGGCTTCTCGCTCGGGTGGCACTTCGGTTGGAACATCACCATGGGCAACGTCCTGGGGCTGAGCACCAGTGGCGCCGAGCCCCCCTTCATCGCGAGGAGGAGGAGGAGGACGAGATGGAAGGGGGCTGTAGGGCGGGGGAGAGGGATGGACGGCGAATGATTGCTGAGGGAGGAGGAGCAGGCTGAGGAGGAGGAGGAGGAGGAGGAGGAGGAGGAGGAGGAGGAGGAGGAGGAGGAGGAGGAGAGGATCAAGGAGGCGTTGGACGGAGAAGTCAGGATAGAAGAGGAAGCGTCCCGATCGATCCCCAAATCCTGCCGCACGGTCGGAAACGTAACCTCCGCCTGCCTGCATTTCTGTCTACCCACCCCGCCTCTTGGCCCGCTGGCTGGCCCAGCAGTGCATTACATCCCTTGGCTCGCCCCGTGGCGCCCGCATACACACCTCAAACTTGGCAAGCGGGTAACCAATACCACTAACTTACGCCCGTTTTCCCTCTTGTCTGGCCTCCTGGAAAGCCCTCGTCGCCACCGCCGGATTCGCGTCGAGGTTCTGGTCAGAACGCACCTTGGAACTTGGCATCGCTCGGACGTGTGCATTTTTTTTCGGCGAGGACCATCGAGGAGCATCCCTGATCATTTGGCGAAAAAACCACGCACGAAACCGAAATCAACGCAGGGAATGGACGTCCGAGCGATGGCCACTGGAAGAGGTCCAGGAAATAGCGGTATTGGTACCTGTTGGTTTCCCCATTTTGGGCGGCCCGCAATTCGAGCTTGGCCTCTCAGGTGGCCGATCCCCGGGCAGCCGCAGCGCCCCCCCCCCCCCCCCCATACGTGGTCTCAACACGTTCGGAGGGACGCGCTCGGTGCTCGCACAGCGCCCTGCGTCGGGGTCTGACGGGCGTGCAACGTTCAGCAAGGTATACAGGCAAGACACTGGAATAAGGAGCGCTTCGGGCTCGGGAGGGGCTCGGGTTTCGGGTCCGTTCCTGAGACTTCTGGCGTGGAACCTGTTTGTTGCCTAGGCCCGACGTGGCCAGCAAAGCCTCTTCGTTCCTTATGCTGAGTTCCTTATGGTAGCACGACGACTGTAGCTCGAGCATCTGCACGTTTCTGGGCGGTGGCGCGCTCTTGCTGCTCGCCGAACCGCTTGGCCCACTTGCTGAAATCGCTTGCCCTCCGCGTGCCCATGCCCTGAGACCGCCCTGGGGTTTTGTTTTTCTTTACATATAAACACACATACATATATATATATATATATATACATGTATGTATACTTAAGTATGTATAAATATACGCAATTGTATATGCATGTATGCATATATGAATAAACAATTGTGTATATAGATGTGTATATATACACACCTGTGTTAACTTTGTATTGTTCTAGCTAACAAGCATGCGACGGTTGTTTTGTCCTAGCGTTATTCGTCGAGATGCTTCAAGCGTTTTTGTTAGGCCCGTCGCTGTGGATCCTCATTCTTGTTAGCGCTCTCTCCTTTCTGGTCGCCACCCCTCGAAGCGCGCAGCCGCCGCCGGGCCTCCCCTGGCCCTCTGGTGGCCGTGCTGCCCGCACGGCCCTGACGACGGCCAGGCTCCGCCACAGGGGCGCAGCGTGGCGGTGCCGAGCCGTCCTCTCGCAGCCTCGCCGCCGTCGCTGGCCCCGGCCTCCCGCACGGCGCGGCCACGGCCGCATCGACCGATGGGCCCACAAGGAACACGAAAGAGACATGGCGGAGAACACGAAAGAGGAAACAGGACGGAGAACACGAAACAAAGAAAGAAGACATAATCGCTAATTTGGAATCAAATAGCGGAGAACACGAAAGAAAGAAAGACAACACGACGTTCCGCGCCGATTTCTTGGATCTGCGCTGCCCCCCCCTGTCGGCACCGCCGGCGCCGCCCCTGGCGCGCTCCGCGCGCCAGGGAGGGGGTCCAGCTGGGCGGGTTGCGTCCATGTGCGGCAGGTTCGCGTCGTGTCGACTGGCGGCGACCCCGCCGCCGGCGTTCAGCGTTGAACGCCGTCGAAGATCCAGAATCGGTCGATGTTGTAGGATCTGACGGTTCGGAAGCGGCCGATCGTTCCAAGTTGAACGATCTCCGCGGTGTCAGAGACCAAAGCCGAAGACGGCACGGCACGAATTTGCCGCAGGCCATGCCTCGGGCGCTCCCTGGGCTGCAGCCCGCTCCTCTCCTGCAGTGACCTTTCACCTGGCGGACCCTGATGCTGGCCTCCAGGTCGAGAGATGATCTCGGTTGCGGCACGTGCGCCTGACAATCTCCAGATCTGCGTGTCGGGCACCTCGCTGCACTGGCCTCCAGGTCGGCTGCTGACTGCCAGGCGATGTGCCTGCCACAGGTCCGCAGTACTGCGATGCCTCTGCCCAGAGGCGAGCCGCTGCCAGCCCCGTACTGCGCAGGATTTGTCGCCCACGTCATCGACATCGGAGGAGAACGGAGGGGGAGGATTTGTGAGGAGGAAGCGGAGGAGGAGGCGGGGCAGGAGACGGAGGCGGAGAAAACATGGAAGATGGAAGAGAATTTTGACGCCAGGGTGATGATGAGGAGGACGAGAAATGGCATAATCCTAAGATGGATCAACAATGCTGCAACGCAACAATCGTTGATACTTAGAGGTTTGGGAATAAAAGTTCCAGAGCTTCTTGATCCCGTCCTGGAGCGGTCTTGGGACCCCTTCGGCATGCTGGAAGCCATCTTGACCGAGCTCGATCTACTTTTAAGCCATCTTGAAGGCCATCTTCGGCTATGGGGGCCTTCTTGGAGCCACCTTGGGCTATTTGGGGAGATCTAGGGCTTCTGACCGCTCGCCGCCCCACCTTTCCAGACCCAGGGGGAGGGGGAGGGGTCAAGACACTTCTCTCAGACGCAAACTGTTAGGCTCACTCCCACTTGCTCTCTCCACACACTAGTTATACCCGAGTCTCAGCAGATTCTAAGGTCGTCGACTTTGGATGGACAGCTACTGTAAACCAACACAGACCCAGGTGCGCGACGCTGGGGCGAGGTGCGCCACGCGTGCCAGGCGCGTCACGCGTGGCAGGCGCGCCACGCGTGCCAGGCGCGCCGCGCGCACCAGGCGCGCCAGGCTCCCCTGAGGCCAAAGCGTGCCAGGCACGCCTGGTGCGTTGGATGTGCCACGTGAGCCAAGTGTGCCGCATGCTCCAGCCGCGTCAGAGGCGCCACGTTTAGGGCACGCGCAGAAGGTGCCAGGTCCGCCCGCGCACATGGGGAAACGTAGCTGGCCTCCACCATCCTCGCCGAAAGCCAGTGAGCGTTGGCGGCGGAGTGGCCATCATGATATCTGGTGGGCCTGCGCGCAACAGGCAATGTGCAAGCACCCCATCCGTCCTTGTCAAAAGCGACAGCCTGGACACACCTCCCCGTCCCAATCAGAATCGTGGATGGTGCGTGTGTGCGCAATCATTTTGCATTTGTTTTTGACAGGGTGGGCCTGTAACATGGTGGCACCCTTGTCTTAGCTGTCAAATCCAATGCAAGGTGAACAGGGGACGTCCGCGCATGAACCATATTTCGTAAAGTTGCATTGTTGTTGCAAGGCATGGCGGAGGGGAGTGGCATTGGCCTGGCTCTGTCGCTGGTCGGGTGGGGAAGGGGGTGTATTGGAAGGTCACGCTCCCCCGCCCCCGCGAAGGACGGCCGTCTCGCTCACTGCCGCCCGCCCTCCAACCACAGACGTAGCGGTCGAGTCTCAACACGGGCAGGGACCGCCACCGACCATCACGAGGAGTCAATGCGGAGGCCATTCGGGTATGCGACGTTCGCGAGATGCGTTGGGCGTGACAGGGCCCCCCCCCCATCATCCCTGTCGAATGGCCATGAGAAGTGATGGCGAGGCGCCCGCGCACGATCGTTGCAATCGTTGCATGTAAGTGTGCTTCGTCGCTTCGGGGTAGGGGATGGGGGGGGGCCCTGCGCGCAGCACAGGCAACGTGCCGCCCGCCCCCCGCCCCTGTCAAAAACAAAGGCAGCGTGATCGCTCGGTGCCCGCGCATGCTCCAGAGTTTGCCGCCGCGTGCGGTTGCATGGTTTTTTTGGGGGGGTAGGCATCGTGGGCGGTATTTCAGGTCGTCGTTCCGGATTCGCCCCTGGTCAGGTGGAGGAGTGGGCGTATGCTCTTAAGGAACATGGATAGCCTGTCCCGACGGGGCAGCAGGCGGTCGGAAGAGCAAGCGCCTCAGACCTCGTACGCCCCTTGGGGCTGATGAGACGACGCCATATACATTGCGCTGCATATGGTACGTCCCACAGGTCACGCCGCACAGGATGCAGCGCATACCTGGTACATTGCACATATTGCGCCACAGGAGACACCGCAGATGTTGCGCCACGTAGATTGCACTGCCCAGACTGCATCACCAATCTTACCACAGCCTACTGTTTGTGGCCCAGTCTAGCCAACAGTTATGTGTAACTTTCAGGGGCGCATGCTGGGGTCTTGCTGGGGTGTGTTAGGATCTCCCAGGCACACATTGAGGCGCATAGGGTGTACGGGAGGCGTTCGGTTGATCGTGGGGCATGTTGCAGCATATTGGTACGGTTTCGGGCCGGTCCTACCCTCCTTGCCGAGAGGGGCATCAGAAAATACAACTTGCAGGGACGAGGTTGTTTGGTGGGCGCCCCAAGGGTTCGCCCCTAGCAAAGTCCAGCGGCCCCGTCGCACAATCCACACGCAGGCCTCACGCGCCCGAGCACGGCCGCGGTGGACACGCAGGCGAACATGCCGGTGCAGGTCCTCTGTGGATCTGCCCAGCAGTCCCCACGCGGTGCTCAAGTCGGAGCCCTGTCGATGCCAGCATTGCGCCGGGACGCTGCGCCAGAGCTCAAACGCGCACGAAGCGCGCGCGCTGCTCTGTTGGGCGAGGATGGAGGGAAGCAGCGGAGGAGAGCAGAGGAGGAGGAGGAGGAGGAGGAGGAGGAGGAGAAGGAGGAGGAGGGGGGAATGCTCGAGGCCTCCTAGATGGTGTCGGAGTAGGTGGGGTCGGAGGATCGCGCCGCATCGGCGATGCAGCGGCTTAGCGGCTCGATCTGGGCCCAATTTTCTCCACGCCGAAGTCGCCGATGCATCGCCGACCTTGTCAGTGCATGGCCGAAGCATCGCCAGCGCATCGGCGATGCACCGCCGATGCGGCGAGATCCGCCGACCCCATCTGCTCGGACCCCATCTAGGAGGCCTTTAAAAGCAGAGAGAGAGAGGGAGGGAGAGAGGAGGAGGGACAGTGAACGAGGCCCCTCTTTATCTGGGCGCGCCGCCTCAGGCATCCCGATCTCAGCCACCTTCGTGTCGGTGGCGCCCCACCCGGAGAAGCAGCACCTGCATGGGGGCGTGTTCGGTCCCGAGGACGTAACGTTTGGTTTGGTGCGGGAGGGTGGGGGGGGAGAATTGGGAAGATCTCGGCGGCGAGCGAGGGGGGGAAATGAACAGAAGTCCTTCTCAGAAGGCGGCGGGACGCCTCAGAAGCCCGTCGCGCCTTCTGAGAGGTGCTCCTGTCCTCGGGGAAGGCCCAGGAGACTTCTCAGAGGACCAGGGACTTCTGAGCGTTCTGAGGAAGCATCTTCCTGCATCCTCCTCCTCCTCCTCCTCCTCCTCCTCCTCCTCGATAGTAGGCTGGGCAGGGCAGGGCAGGCCGTCAGGCCACTCGTGGTCAGAGGCCAGGCGCTGTCCGCTTCCGCCGCGGGCGCTGCTCGCGCGGGGCAGTGTGCATCGGCGGTCCATCCGCGGCCACCCTGGCATCGCTCGGACGTGTGCTGTTGCCTTTTTCGGCGAGGAGGATGGGGACGGGGAGGAGGAGGAGGAGGAGGAGGAGGAGGAGGAGGAGGAGGAGGAGGAGGAGGAGGAGGGGAGGAGGAGGAGAGGAGGAGGAGGAGGGAGGAGGAGGAGAGGAGGGAGGAGGAGGAGGGGAGGAGGAGAGGGGGAGGAGGAGGAGGAGGAGGAGAGAGAGGAGGAGGAGGAAGGAGGAGCCGGTTGGGGTCATCTGGGAGAATAGCGCGCACGCAACCGACAAAGGCACGGGGAGCGGACGCGTCCAAGCAGCGATGGCAAGGCCAGTGGCCAGCTCTGGTCCTTCCCCGTTCTCGACCGCGCCCAGTGCTTGGCCTTGCTTGGCCCGGTGCCCACGTGCGGCCTGAGCTCGCGCTTCTGTAGGGAAGCAAGCAATGGCATAAACATAACAACTGGGAGGTCCGCGCGGATTTCTCGGATCGGCGCTGGACCCCCCCTCCTTGGCGCGCGGAGCGCGCCAGTGGCGGCGCCAGAGGCGCCGACAGGGGGCTCCAGCGCCGACCGGGGAAATCCGCGCGGACTTCGACTTTTCATTATTATGTCATTGTTGGGCGTCGCGTCATGGGGGGGTCATAAATGGGGGGGTGGCGGGTACCAAACCAGTACCTGAACGAGCCCCCTGGGGCTCCGGAGGGGCCTGAAAGGGGCACGGAAGGGGGACCGTTTCTGACCCCCCCAGTTAGGACCCCCCCATATTGAGCCACGCCCGACATTATTCGTTCCCCTCTTCTCTGCAGCGGCCACGCGGTTGAGGCCCAGGCGCGGCCCGGCGACCCACGTTGCCCACGGCGATGGAGGGGGCGACAGAGGCTGGAGGTCGGCGCAGGGGGCGGGAGGGAAAGGAGGAGCTGCCGGGGGGAGGGGGGGAGGGTCAGGCCGAACGAAAGTGGGGGACAGGGAAGGGGGTGTTACGAAATCTGCGGCATGCAGCTGGTTTCGGCCCCGCCGCCGGGCCCATTCCTCGGATGTATGGGCGCGTCCCGGCGCCTGGAGGCGCTGGGAAAATCAGCTACGTGAGTTGATTCTCTACCCTACTCTTTGCTATCCCCCCGTGTCGTTCCCCCCGAAAGCGCTGGGTCGGCCCTGGAAACGGAGGGGCCGTTGTCTTCCACCGTTTTCGACAAGTGCCTCTTGGGCATGCAAGCGGTAAACAAAAACGGCAATCGGAGACGGCGTAAATCGGCTCCGGGCTTGGACCCGGAAGCGGAACCGGCCAAAAAACGGCGATGGAACCAGAAGACAGAAACGGCGCCAGAATTGGCTCCACAACGGCACAACGGAACCGATGAACAGAAACGGCCCTGTCGCTTCCAGGGCTCATCTTCAAAGCAGGGGTGAGGGGTGAGGGAAGGGACGGGCGCAGGCGATTCGGAGAGGCATGCCACTCCGCCGGAATTACTGTCGGAGGGAGCAGAGGCGACACCAACACCACCAGGGTGGCCACCTCCAGCGAGGAGGTCCACGACGCCTCCCCGGGCTGGAGGCCGGGGATGTCTCGAGCGAGAGGGTGGGACCACACCATCAGGGAGACCCCCCGTGCCTCCCCGCATCGCCTCGCCCGTGTGGTGTTGGTGTCGCCTCTCGTTCTTGTTGTCCCGGCCTCCTAGATGGGGTCGGAGTAGATGGGGTCAGAGGATCGCGCCGCATCGGCGACGCATCGGCGATACATCGGCGATGCGGCTCGATGTGCATCGCCGATCTCGCCACTGCATGACCGATGCATCGCCGATGCATCGGCGATGCATCGCCGATGTATCGGCGATGCGGCGCGATCCTTCGACCCCATCTACTTGGACCCCATCAAGGAGACCTCTAATCCAGAGGCGGCGAGGTCCCGTTGCGATCCGCGCGCGTGGGGCACCAGTCCGCCAGGCCCCCCAGGGGCGCAACGACGCGGCGGCAGCTGCGCGCCTGCTGGCATCAGAGCTGCGCAGGGTGCGACCCTTCATAAAACCAGCGCCGTGCACATGGCATGCAGCACGCTTTGCTCGCAAGGAGGGCGAGGGAGGAGAGAGTCCGAAGAAGAAAAACGCCATAAACAGAAACTGTTGGCGCTCCACACGGAGTTCTTGGATCCGCGCTGGGGGCCCCCCCCGCAGCGGCGCCTCCGCGCGCCAGGGATGGGGGGTCCAGCGCATATCCAAGTATTCCGCACGGAGCGTCGACAGTTTATGCTTACGGCGTCTCTTCTTCTTCTTCTTCTTCTTCTTCTCTTCTTCTTTTGAGAGTTCGGGAGACGAGAGTGCGAGCGAAGCGGGAGGCGCTGAGAGAATGGACGAGAAACGAGAGGAGGGGGACCGGGAGGAGGAAGGAGGCACGGCAGGCGCCCCATTCAGGCCGAGGGCCCAAGTTGTTCTAGTCAAGCCGAGGGCTGGGAGATCAGTGTGCGAGCTCTGCTGGGAGGGGGTCTCCGAAGCTACGGATCTATGAAGAGCTCCAGGAGGTCTCCAAGAGCTGCATGGGGGATCTTCGGAGATTTCGGGAGACGTCCCGAAGCCCAACAGGTGCAGATCATTCATAAACATTGTATCTTCGAGCTTCGAATCTCTAAGAACAGGTGGTGGAGGAGGAGGAGGAGGAGGAGGAGGAGGAGGGAGGAGGAGGAGGAGGAGGAGGAGGAGGTGGAGGAGGAGGTGGAGGAGGAGGAAGGGAGGCGGAGGAAGGGTGGAGGAGAAGGAATATGGGGACCCATCTCTGTGAAAGCAATGTTGTCCGTTAGATGCTTGGACCGCCTCCCATGGGTCGTTGTGTTGAGGGGAGCCTGTCACGGGTCCATCCAAGCGAAAAAATATCATCATTCTCCGTCGCGGTTCCCTACCCCACAGTTGGGGGTTGGTCGGCTTCCAGAAAAGGTCTCTCGACACGCCTCGCACACAGTGCATACCGCGGCCGCCAGGCCCGAAGTGTGCTGGCGCTCCCTGAGTATCCCGCCCAGTGTCTTCGACGAGTGACGACCGCATGCTGCGGCCGCCAGGCCCGACGTCTCCCGGCGCTCCCCTGGGTATCTCTCGAGTCTTCGGGTGTTGCTAGAAGTGCCCCTGGCCCAAGGTGCCCCCAGCTTTTCCCGAAAATCCTGGGGGTACCTTGGGCCAGGGGTACTTCTAGCAACACCCGACGAGTGGGGATCGGTCGAGGCAGAATGTTCCTTTCGCAACGCGAGGAGCCTTGCAGGGTTTGACGAGTTCCCTCCAGTCGGCCTGCGGGGATCAAGCCAGGCAAGTTGAGGCGGATGCAGACAGATCGAGGCGCACCCAGACACATCAGGATGTATCCTTAAGTCGGGCCTGTCCCTCTACAGGAGGAATATTCAAAACTGATGTAAAAAGAGTCTGGACACAATTGTTCTATCATTCTTTTGTATGTTTGGGCATTATTTGACTATGCTTCATTTTCCTACCAAAATCCGCCTGTATGGGGGGCATGCCCGACCTAAAAGTATCCAGGTGAATCCAGGGATGTCCTGCAAGATCTGCAGATAGCCGTGGACGCTGCAGCGCGCGAGCCGCGGGACGGCAGAAGTCGTCAAGCCCTTAGCGAAGGAGGTGTAGGGGAAAACGACGGGAGCGGCGCCCATTTGTCGGCGGCGAGCGAGGGGTGGCAGGGAGAGGGAGAAGGCTGTCTCCGAAGGCGGCGGGGCTCCTCAGAAGCCCTCGCCCCTTCCGAGAATTATTTTTTGGCGTCTCCGGGGAAGGCCAAGAGCACTTCTCGGAAGGCTGGGGGACTCCACTCTCCTGCTGGGAAGGCCTTCTCCTTCTCACGTCCCCCCCTGGCATCGCTCGGACGTGTGCATATTTCTGTTCGGCGAGGACCAGCGAGAAGCAGCTTGGATCATCCTGCGCAAAATGAGCGCGCGAAACCGACGGATGCACGGAGAACGCACGTCCGAGCGATTGCAAGCCCCTCGCTCGCCGCCGAAAATTCGCAGGCCTAGAGGTGCACCAACACTAACATCGGCGGCGTGCCTCCACCGAGGGAAGGGGATCCCGATCTCGGTGCTGATGGTGCGATTCTGGCGTCCAAGGTGGCCAAAGTATTACAACCATCGCCAGTAGCTATGACAAGCTTCCCCCTGCTTGGGCAACCCCCCTGAGGGGCAGGAACACACACACACAGGCACAGTGAATCGGCGACTCCCACGCAAAGATGGTAAAACTATGCGAAGCGAGGAGGGGGGGAAGACGAAGCGCCATAACAAATAGAGGGAAACAATCTGGGGAATCCTGGGATCTGCGTGCATTTACGTGTGTGCCCTGGGCCCCTCCCCCAAAAACGCCTGCAGGGCGGGGTGGTGTCCCCCGCCGCCTGTCGGGCGTGCTCCTGCTGGCGTCCAAGGTGGTAATATTCTGGCGTCCAAGGTGGTCAGAATACCACCACTACCAACAGCATCTAGGACAATCTCCCACAAGACGAAATTCCAGAAATGGGGACTCCTGGGATCTGCATGTATTTACTGTGTGCCCCTGGGCACCTTTGCACAGAATGCCTACAGTCAGGTCGGGCGTGTCCTCCTCCAGGGGGATTTGGGACGAAAAAACAGCCCAAATCCATTCCAACGTGGTCAGAAATTGTGAACAAATCGTCCCCTGACAATTTTTGCGACTTTTGTTTTTTTATTCCTCCTGGAGAGGGACATGCCCGACTTCAGCCTACAGGGCGGGGCGTTGTCTCCCGCCGCCGACCGTGCGTGCTCCTGCTGGCGTCCAAGGTGGTAATACTCTGGCGTCCAAGGTGGTCAAAGTACCACCACCACCACCACCACCACCACCACCACCACCACCACCACCACCACGAAAATCTAGGCCACTCTCCCCCCCTGTGTAGGCAACCCCCTTGTGTTGGTGTTGGTGTCCATGTCCAGGCCTCCAAAACCTCCTCCTCCTCCTCCTCCTCCTCCTCAACGCCTACAGGGCGGGGTGGTGTCCCCCGCCGCCTACCTCCTGGGCGTGCTCCTGCTGGCGCTCCTCTACGGCTGGCCCCGCGGGGACCTCGCCGCGCTGCCCGGGTAGGCCGCGGGAGCGCCGCGCGGGCGCCGCGGCGCGCCGCCCGCTCGCCCGAGCGGGGGGAAGACCGTGTCAAACATCGAGTCGTCGTGCTCCTCCCCCTCCTCCTCCTCCCCCTCCTCCTCGTCGTCCTCCTCCTCCTCCCCCTCCTCCCCCTCCTCCTCCTCCCCCTCCTCCTCCTCCCCCTCCTCCTCTATGTCTTTCCCGTATCCTTCTCCTCCACCTCCTCCTCTTAGGTGCCCCGTCCCCCTTCTGAGAAGCGTTCCAAGCTTTCCCCGAAGGCGCAGGAAAAGCTTCTCAGAAGGCCGGAGCGCTTCTGAGAAGTACCGCCGCTTTCTGAGAAGGCCGTCTCCTGCTCACTTCCCACCTGGATCGCCGCCAATGGGAGGGGATAGTGAGGGAGGGGCGCGGAGGGGAAGGAGGGGGGGATTTTGCGACTGGATCGCAGCGTAATCTATAAACAGGCGGGCACAAAACGCCTCAGTTCGGAGGGAGATTCGGGCCCTCCTCCCCCGCGTGCGTACCTTATACCAGATCAGCTTGTTGGCCGGGGTGGTGTACCAAAATCGTGCCCCCAGGGGATGCCAATGTTGCGCACAACCCCTTTTCCACGGTCTTGCGCCGGACCAGCTTGTCTGTGGGGGTGGTGTACGAAAGGCGTACTCCCAATAGTAGATTTACAGGCCTATGGACTGGGGCCCCGTGAAGAAGGACCCTCCTGGGACCCTCCCTTAAATCATGGCGCTCTGGAGCCAGGAGAAGTGGAGAACGTGATAACAGGGAGGAGCGAGGAGGGAGGGGGGGATGAAGGAAGATGGAGAGGCAGGTTAGGAAGGAGGGGAGACGGAGAGGTGGTGGAGGAGGGGCAGGACGGTGAACAGAGAGGAGGATGACAGAAGGTATCGAGGAGGAGGAGGAGGGGGGAGGGGAGGAGGGAGGAGGAGGGGGGATGGAGCGAGGGGGAGGGAGGAGGGAGCGAGGAGGAGGGAGGAGGGGGGGGAGGGAGCGAGGAGGCGAGGAGAGGAGGGAGAGCAGAAGGAGGTTGGAGGAGGCAGCGGTGCGGGGCCCCTGCCAATCCATGCCGCTTCCTCCCTCCTCCTCTTTCCTATCTCACATCCCCTTTTCCTCTCCCTCATAATTACCCCCTTTTCCCCTCATCCTCCTGCTCACTCCTCTCCCTCCAACCCCCTTTCCTCCTCCCTCATCCTCCTTCTCCCTCCTCCTGCCCCTCCTCTCCTGCTCCTGCCCCTCCTTCTGCCCTTCCTGCCGCTCATTCTCCTACCTCCTCCCCTACTCCCTCATCATCTTGCTGCTCTCGACATTAACCAGGACGGCGTTTCCGCTCAGGGATTGGGCTCATCTCATCTTCTTCATTCCTCCTCCCCCTCCTTTCCCCTCCTTTCTTCCCGCCGCGCGCGGATGAGGAGGAGGCGGTTAGAAAGAGATCTAGGTGAAGGAAGTGGGGGAGGAGGAGGATACTTTGAGAGGGAAAATGATACAGGGTGAATGATAGGGAGGATGAGGAGGGGAGGAGGTGGTGGCAAAGGAGGAGGCAGAGGAGGAGGAGGAGGGAGGTTTTTTTGGGTTGGACTCATGGTTGGCGAATGCGCGGCATGCTTGGAGGGAGGAGGAGGGAGAGGGGGGGAAGGGGGGGGAGGAGGGAGGAGTGACGACATGGGAGCAGGGAGTAGGACTGAAGGGGTGGGGATGGAGAAGGGCAGGGGGGGAAGCGGTGTTATTGCGCGCCCGGCCGCAGCAGTCACGCAGGTTCCTCGTCCTCGTCGCTCCACGTCCTTCTCGTCTCTCTCCCTCCCTCTGCCGATCCTGCAGGCTGTTCTCGATCCTGCACTGCGATCGGGAAGCCATCTGGTTCCGTGAGCGACGGCCTTTGAGGGAACAAGGGTCGAGACGCAGAGCGGGAAGGCCCAGGTCCACATACATGGATTGGCGACCGACGATGCGCTCTCTGCTACTGCTCGGCATGAGACGGCATACGTTGCAGAGGTTTCGAGCAGTGCCTCGGGGACATCTTGGGATATCATCGGACCAGACTAAGCAACGCATCATAACTGAGAATGCGCGGGCCGCGCGATCTGTCCAGAATTCCGGCGCCCCAGTGTTGCACCCGCAGTACCGTAGACGGTGCACATGCTGGGGGGTGTTTCAGTGCCTTCGGGGTCTTTTTTGACAGTTTGCCATCGACGGGGGCACAGTGTTCTGGCGCGCCCGGCAAACGCGGCACTGACACCCTTCCGACCTGTTCAACAGGCCACTTGCCGATCGACGTCCCGACCGACCCTCCTCCTTCGCTCTCTCTCTCTCTCTCTCTCCCCCGAGCAGCTTCGAGCCTGGCTGGGCTCAGCAGAGCCTGGATCCCGTGGCTGCACGGGCTCCTTACAAGAGAGGGCAACCCTGCCCTGGTCGACTTCGACTCCCATGAGTCTGATGGTCCTTGTGCGGATGTCCACGGGGAGGCGTGGCCTCCTCCGTCCTCTCTCCCCCCTGCTTCACACGCTCAGGCAGGCCGAGGACGAGGACACGTCGCTCCAGAGCGTCCTGGAACGCCCTCGGAGCGTGCCGGGGCGCTCCGAAACGGCTGCGGCTTTGGATACATTCACCCGACCGCCAGCTCTCAGAGATCCTCGGTTAATCCTCATCAGGTTTTTGCCCATTTTCTCTCCCTCCGATCGCGGGCATCCAAGAGGGGGTGATGACCAGGTGTGTGTGTGTGTGTGTGTGTGGATTTCGTGGTTGGGGCCATGGTAACGTCGTGAATCTCTCGACCTCCCCTTCTTCGTCTGCTTATCTTTCTTATGTGTCTTGTTATGCTTCTTCTTCTTTTTCATTCAACGCGATCCCTGGCGCCCTTCTTCGTCGGTGCACGTTCTTCGGGCAATGATTCGCGCACCCCCTTTTTGTACCCGATGAAGAAACATTGCATGCACATAAAGTCTTGTCGCTGCCCGCGGAGTTCTTGGATCTGCGCTGGGCCCCCCTGGCGGCGCCTCCGGCGGCGCTGCCCCATCGGAGAAGTCCGCGCGGTGCGCCAAATGTGTGTGTGTGTTGTGCCGTGTTTTCGTTCCTCTATGAACGCACCCATCGTCGACGCCTCCGATAACATTAACTCGGATACGTCCCAAAAAATTGTCAAGAAGTAGTCTGGGGACGATCTGTTCGATCATCTTTGACCATTTTGGCGTTTTTGTTCTCCCCTATTTTCAATTTTCGTCCAAAATCCCCCTGTAGGACGACCTGCCCGGCCTAACGGTAGCATCCTCCCTCTCTCCTGCGTCTGCAGCTGCAGCCCCCTCGCTCTGGGCCCCGCCCCTCCCCGCTTGTGCTGGGCGTCAGGCCTGCCAGGCTCCCCGTGAATCTCACGACAGTTGATGGGCTTGTTTTCCACCACCACCACCACTATGAATTAGAGGTGGAGGGGGTCCTCCTCCTCCTCCTCCACCTCCTCCTCCTCCTCATCCTCCTCCTCTTCCTCCTTCTCCTCCTCCTCCTCCTCCTCCTCCTCCTCCTCCTCCTCCTCCTCCTCCTCCTCCTCCTCCTCCTCCTCCTCCTCCTCCTCTCCCCATCCAACTTAGGGTGGTGGTGGTGGAAAACAGTCCCATCATCATTTTTGTTGAAAATTGCACAGTTTGAAACATGTTCAAAATCGGCGCACATCTTGCTAAAAACCAGGCATGCAAATTCAATGTCAACAGCCCGACATGAACGTTGCATCGGCGCATCGGTCGGGGAACCCCTGGCGGCGCCTCCTCCGGCGCCGTCACACGACGCGGTCCGCGAGCTATGTTTGGGTAGGATCAGCGCCGATCCCAGGAAATCCGTTGTCTGTTCCTCCGACTAGCCTCGGCTTCTTGCGGCTTCGCCCGCTTGTTGTCCGACGGCCAGCGCGCCGACCTCTTCCTTCTCGGTATCGTTTAACCGATCTCCATCCCCATCCCCATCCCCTTCGAGACCCCCACCAAATCATCGCCCCAGTTGGGGATACACCCCTCGAAACCCGAAAGGAACGACCTACATCTCCTAACTAGGGGGGTAAGTTGGCGAGTGGAGCCCAGGCCACGCCGCTGGGGACGGGGATCGTTTCAACGCTACTCGTCCCTCCTCCCGGGTCGTCGCGAGCCGCTGTGGGGTGGGCGGGGGCAGGGCGCCCCGTGGCGGTGGACGTGCCGCCAGGCGGGTCGCCAGAGCTGCAGCCACAGGCGGGCATCGTTGCACGCCCGTCGTCGGAAGCAGGTCTAAGTCGGGCGTGCCCCTTTACAAGAGGGATATCCCAAAATAGTGCAAACGATTCTGGGGAGGATTGTTCTATCATGTTTCAGATGTTCGAGCGTGTTTTGACTATTGATGATTGTTCGTCCAAAATCCGCCTGTAGGAGGACATGCCCGACCTAAAAGTAGGTGTACTTGTGGACTCCCAGGTTCCAATCCTACGTTGGGCGCCTTCCTGCTTCGAGAACCGAGCGCTTGCCTTTCCCTCTTCCCCCCCCTCTTGCTCGAGGGGGCGGGCGGAAGCCCATTGCCCATCTGCATCCAACGCCTTCCGACTTCACGGTTCAACCCGCTTCTTCCGACCGGCGGGTAAGTATGCATCACCCGCGTGCTCATGTGGTGTTGTCGTCCTCGGATGCAACTTTTGGGAGGTCAAGTTGTGATTTTGCCCTGGTCCGAAATCCGGCTGAACCCCGCTTAATCCCGATCAATCCGGCTTAATCCCGCTTAATTCGAGGCCCATTCCGGCACAACAGCCCCTCAATCGGGTTTAATCCTCCTTCATCCTTCTGACGAAGACTTCCCAGCAATTGCCTCCTAAGTCGTCCTGTCGCGAGTGCCGCCCGTGCCGTCCCCTCCCTCCGAGGCCGCCCTTCTCCCTCCGCAGCCTGCCCGGGTGCCAATTCGTGTGTTTTGCTCGCATCCCGACCCAACCTTCCTGACTTGAGCGCTCGCCTAGCCCGCGACACGGAAAGTGCTTATGTTCACCGAGCGCGTGCCTTTACGCGCACAGTGCTTTTTCGCAAACGTCCGAAGAACAAGCAGCTGTTTGCTCCGACGAAATGTATCGTAGATGCTTCGCGGCGGATGCAGGTCATGTGCGAGTAATTTCTTTGCGAGTAGTGGAACGCGCTTGTCTATACGTGGTCATCCTCCCGAGCGGGTAGGCGGCAGGCGCAGGAGCCGCACCTCTTTTGCACGGCCCCGCCAAGAGGTTGTGGACCCCCGGGTCCAGTTACCCAGCACGGGCTGAGCACACATCGAGAAGAGTGTGGCACTGCCCCGGTAGTCGACCTGCTGCCACTGCCCCCCTCGTCCTCCCGTGAGGGGAGGACAAGGGAGAGTGAAGCAAGAGGGACTCATCCAGTATACATGCATATATACATGTATGTGTATATATATACAAATATACAAAGGATACGAATATGTGCAAATGTCGGCCGCGTAGCCTCGTGAGCCACCCCCCCGCGCCTTCACATCGTCCTGTCTCAGGGGCTCTGAGACCTCGGGAGGCCCAGAAAGGTCCGAGAGCACATCGCATACTCACGCTGCCTCGAGCTGTTCCAACCTGCGAAGGCGAGGTGGGATACAGTCGGACCGAGGTATCAGATCGAGGTCGGGGAGGGTGCCGTGATGTACTTCGTGCTTGTTGGATGTTATTGTGCATTCCAGGCCTCCCAAATGAGGCCAAAGTAGATGGGGTTTGAGGATCGCGGCGCATCGGCGATGCATTGGCGATGCGAGTCGATGCGGAGCCCGATGTTCTGCACGCCGACGTCGCCGACGCATCGCCGACTCCGCCGATGCATCGCCGATGCATCAGCAATGTATCGCCGATGCATCGCCGATGCGGCGCGATCCTCCGACCAAATCTACTTACTCCGACCCCATCTAGGAGGCCTCTATGCATCCTGGAAGAGGGCAGCCTCGAATGTGTTTCAGTTTAGGCCTTGCGGCCAAGGCATGCAGGGTGTTCATGGCGGGTCCGGAGTTTTTTCGTTTTTCTTGCCCAAGGGTTTTTTACTAGTTAAAGGTCGGTGTCTCGGGTGGCTAGTTTGCCCTTTTCTCGGAGGTTCCAGGGGTTCCTCGGGTTCCCCGGGTTACTCGCCCTCGGTGCTTCCGATTCTTACGTTGCCCGTTCATCGGAGGTTGCCCAGGTTCCTCTGGTTCCACGGGTCTCCCGGGTTCCCAGGGTTCCTCGGGTTCCCAGGGCTCCTCGGGTTCTACAGGGTTTCTCGGGTTCCTCGGGGTACCCGGGTTTCTCGGGTTCCTCGGGTTCCTCGGGTTCTTTGGGTTTCTCGGGTTTCCCATGTTCCTCGGGTCCCCGGGTTCCCCGGGTTCGATCCTCAGGTTCTCCGGGGTCCTCGGGTTCGTCGGGTACCCTGGGTTCCCGGAGCAATGCCAAGCAATGCGACGCAATGCCAAACAGTACCAAGCAACGCCGAGCAATGCCCCACGCAATGCCCTTAGCAATGCGCCGAGCAATGCCCAGCCTTGCCAGGCAATGCCAAGCAGTGCTGAGCACTGCGCCCCTGCAAGAGAAAAAACATGGAACAGCCCCACACCCGAGGGGTGGCGGAACGGATCCTCGAACTTGGGCCCCTCCTCCTCGTGCGCCTCCTCGTCAGCATCGCCTCCCGAGCCGCTCTGGGCCCCGGGCGATGGCTCCCGGGCCGAGCGCAGCTCATGCGCCTGCCGCTCCCAGCCACCCTCGGGAAGCGCAGGCTCGCGGTCCACCCCTCTGCGCCGCCTCGGCAGGGCTCGACCGGAACGGCGTCTTGGCGAGCTCGTGGGCCGTTGCGTCCCGATATTCGTCCTGAAGCAGAGGCGAGACGAAGACAGAACGAGGGAAAACGAAGACAGCACCAGAACGGGAAGCACTGCTGAATTTGGTCGAGCCCTGCTCATCAGCCTCCGCCTCTCCTCCTCAGTCCCATTTGTCTCCCTCTCCTCCCGTACCCTCGTCCTCGTCCTCGTGCTCCTCTGCCGTCCTCCCTCTCCCCCGCTCTTCTTTCGTGTGTCATTCTCTTCTCTCCTTCCCCTCCCCCTCCCCCTTGTCGTCCTCCCCTGTCCCCGCTGCCCTCATCCCCTCTTGCTCCTCGTGCTGTTCTTCCTCTAGGTTCTGCCTGCCTGTCACCTCACCGTCCGTCCCCCTCTCCCCCCTCAGGGTCTCAGCTGGCCCCCGTGGACCTCTCTCTGGAAGCCCCCGGGGACCCCCCGAGGCGCAAACTGAATTGCACGTCCAGAAATCTGGATCCTCGTCTCCTCCTCTCCTCCTGCTCCTCCTGATCCTGCTCCTCCTCCTCCTCCTCCTGTTCCTCCTCCTCCTCCTCCTCCTTCTCTTCCTCATCTTCGTCCTTGGTCCTTCTCATCCTTCCCGCGAGCGCAGGGAGGAGCGAGAAGGGGGATGTGGCGTCGGAGGAGGAGGAGGAAGGGGAGGGAAAACAGCTCATGGACACACAGAATCGTCGACTCCCCAGAACAACATTGAAGCTATGGGAAGTGGAGGGTAAGACGAACATCCAGGATATAATCTTGAGATGTGTGTCTACTTATGTGTATGTCTCTTGGCCCTATCAGAGAAGGAGGTGTGAGGAGGATGACGAGGAAGGAGGAGGAGGAGAAGGAGGAGCAGCAGGAGGAGGGGTGATGGGGGAGAAGGGATGGCGACGAGAGGAGGGAGCGGCATGGGAGGAGGGTGGCGGCGACGGGAGGAGCAGTCCTGCTTCTTCTCCCTCCTCCTCCTTCTCCTCCTCCTCCTCCTCCTCCTTCTCCTCTTTCTCTACTTCCTCCCCCCCTCATCCTCCTCCTTCGCCTTCTTGACCGCCTCCTACTCCTGCTCCGACTCCTCTTCCTCCTCCTCCTGCTCCTCCTGCTCCTCCTCCTCAGCGCCGGGACCCCCCGAGCGACGCCTCCGGCGCCGCCCTGGCTCGCTCCGCGCGCCGGGGAGGGGGTCCAGCGCAGATACCAGAAATCCGCGCGGAGCGCCAACAGTTTATGCTTGTGCCGTTGTTGTTTCTCCTACTTCTGCGGGTTTTCCTCGATCCTCGATTTTCGACGCCTCACGCGGGGCCGCCGACGCCGCACGAGAACCCTGCCCCCCCCAGCTGGGGTCTCGAGCGGCGACGGCGGCCCCGCGCCAGGCCTCGGGGGTCCAGGATCGAGTATCGAGGATCGAGGGTCGAGCATCAAGGGTCGAGGGTCGAAGGTCGAGGGTCGAGGATCGAGGGTCGAGGAGGATCGAGGATCGAGGAAAACCCTCAGATGGGGGGGGGGGGAGGCCCTTCTTGGGAGGCTCTGCTGCGCTGCTTCTGGGGAGAGCCCGCCCCGCGCGCGGGCCGCGGCGTGTTCGCTGGATCCGCGCGCGAACCGCGCGACGCGAGGAGGACCCAAACCTGCGCAGCCCTCGATCCTCGACCCTCGATCCTCGACCCTCACGATCCTCGACCCTCGATCCTCGATCCTCGATCCGCGATCCGCGATCCGCGACCCTCGATCCTCGACCCTCGACCCTCGATCCCCGATCCTCGGCCCGCACGATCCTCGATCCTCGGAGCCTCGGGGCCCCGTGCGTGGCCACCGACGCCGCACTAGAAAGAAGCCCTGCCGCCTCCTCCTCATCCTGCCACCTCCTCCTCCTCGTCCTGCGTCCTCCCTCCTGCCTCCTGCCTCCTCCTCCTCCTCCTCCTCCTCCTCCTCCTCACCCTCTCCCTCCCCCCTTCCGTAGCCATTTTGGCTCAAGACTAAATGCTAGTGAGGCTGTCAGCCTCCAGGCTTTCACGGATACCGCTGTCACCGCGGCCAGACGAATCAAGTTTTCTGACCGACGGCTGGTCCGCCCCAGCTGATCGGCTGCCTCCTGCGGCCCCGCAGGTGAGCAGGCGCTCTCGTGGCCCAAAGACGTCTCTGCAATGGGGCCGCGCGAGGACGATGCGTGCAGGTGGTATTGCAAGTGGTGCAAGAATGATCGCACGGGAAAGCAGTGGTGGAACATGGCGCATGCGAAGAAGTGCGTGCTGTGTGGTTTGGCGAAAGGAGTCACGTTCGGGGGCAACGTCATGCCCTCGGAGCCTTCAGCCCGCGCTAAGCTCAAGATGCCGCCGTGGAAGATCCAGTCAGCTGAGGCCGCAGGACAGGCAAAGATCAGGGAGCTTGAGGCGAAGATCAAGGAGCTTCAGGCCGAGTCGAAGCGCCTGTCTGGGGACCCCATGCAGGTCGACGCTGGCGAGAAGGATGACGAGGCGGACATGCGCAAGAGGCTCAGGGAGATTGATGAGCAGCTCGCGTTTGTGTCCAAGTACAGCAGTGAGTCGAAGGCGGGAGCATATGTGGAGTCGCTGCGAGCGGAGAAGGAGCGTTTGCATGGCAAGCTTCAGGAGTCTCGGCCTATGTATGCGAAGTTGCAGACAATGTCGAATCGGCTCAAGACGGCGGAGAAGCGGGCGGAAGCTTCGAGAGAGTTGGTGGCAGAGAGGAAACGGCAGCTTGGTGAGATGCAGAAGAGTCTGGAGCAGGCTGAAAAGGATCTCACGGAGCAGGAGAAGGAGGTGGTGTCGCTCAGTGCGCAGGTGCAGGAGCTCACTAAGCAGGCGCCGATGGCGCCCGAGTTGGCATCGCTGGACGAGAAGGGCGAGGGCATGGCCATGGATGTGGGCGCCTTGGGCAAGATGCTTGAGGCGCAGGGCGTTGGATCCGAGCAGGCGGCAGCTCTGGCGCAGGTGCTGGCGGACAGCATGGGCAAGCTCTGGGTCAAGAACGAGGCTGGTCAGGCTGAACAGTCGCTCCAAGCTCCTCGCACGCCGTATGGCGGAGCAGGCGTTTCCTCGCCTGGCACGCCGAGTGCTGAGGCAGGAGGCGGTCAAGGAGGAGGGTTCGAATGAGGTGTCTACCGCTTTGTCGGCCACGTGTGCGATTACTGGAGGCAGCACTGCTCAAGTGCCTGGTCGGCAGCCTAATGTTGATCTCAAGTTG